TGACAACCCACTGCAAGGCAACAACAGCACTGTCTGGGTTTGTAGGGCGTTTACAAACATTTCAACACAGCAGAAAAAAGACAACCCCCTCCAGCCAAATGGCAGGCACAAGCCACACCGGGGAGCAGCTGCCAGTCCACAGGCTCAGCCCCCAACAAGAGGCGAGTGGGAGATGTTCCCACACTGGTCACCTGTACTGCAGGCATGCCAGCTATTTTCTATTCTAGCTTGTTGGCTGTTGTTATTCCAAGGGCTAAAAGGAGAGGTATAACACGGCAACCAGCCTTCTCTTCCCTGGGGTAGCAGGAAAGGTGTGGACCAACAGGCAGGAACCAGCATATAGCAAACTGCTTTCCTGCATGGCACCAGACATGACAGCACACTGCAGCCTTCAGACTCAGCCCCTGCAGCACACTGCCAGTAAAAACTGGCAGCACCAGTGCTAAACAGCAAATGCCTGGGGCGAAGACCCTGGTGGGCAGGGCAGGGCTCTCTGCCTGCTGCACCTGCAACCCTCCTGCTGTGTGTGTGCTCACAGCAAGCTGCCCCACACCTCATGACAGAAAAGCCACCAAGCCAGAAGAGTCATAGAATCCCTTCACCTCCTGCAAGCCAAGACTACTCCTGCTGCAACCACCACCTTTTGAGACAGGAGGAAAGACTGGAGAGTGCATGCACCCAGTTTCAGAGTCCCCAGATGCTACATTTGAGCCCAAGGAGGGAAGCAGATACACTCAGGTCTGGCAGCTCTGAGACAGAAGATCCTCCTGGATGACTGCAAATTGTCTTCCAGGTCCTAAATCTGCCCCTTGGGGGTGCTCTGTCCTGGCACTGCTGCCTGACCAAGCATGGTTTCCTGCTCTGGTGCTATCTTTTCTGATCCCCTTGGATATCTGTCAGGGCCCTTCTGCTCATGCTGAGGCTGTGTTGCTGCCATGAACAGAAAACCCTCCTTTATGGAGTCTGTCTTGAACTATATATGGCTGGATCTTCTTCCCCAGCACAGCGTGCCACCTCCCTTGTGCTGGATGGAGCAGTCATGGGAAAGCAAATCTCCCCACAAGGCTTCCACCATCCTGGGTCTCTGATGGGGGGGGGGGCAGGCAGGCAGC